AGGATGGTTGTAAAGATGAAATGAGATAAGAAGCACTTAGCACAGGATCTGGCACAGATTTAAGCACTTAGTATTCATTAATTATGCTATAGTTTGGATCTTGAATGTTCCTCAAAGGCTCATTGTAGGCTTGGTCCCCAGCTCATGGGAGGTAGTAGAATCTTTAGGAGGAAGGGCCTACTGGAGGGAAATTAGTTCATTGAAAGCATGCCTTTGAATGGATTTTTGGGACCCCCAGTCCCTCCTCATCTTTCTTTTCTTCCCAGTCATCATGAGATAAACAGGCCACATATTTCCTTCCATGTTGCTGCTTTACCACAGGCTCAAAGGCAAGGGGGCCAAGCAACTGTGGACTGAAACTTCTGAAATCATGAGCTCAAGTAGACATTTTGTCTGTATAAATTGACTATTCCAAGTATTTTATCACAGAGACAGGAAACTGAATAACAGTTATTAATGGTACTCCATTTTAATTCAGCTGTAAATAAGTAATTGCTATACCTGACTATTTATCAGAATCACTTTACTATTTTTTTTTTAAACAACATTCCTGTGCCACATCAATGTTTATTGCAGCTCCACAATAGCAAAACTATGGAACCAACGTAGGTGCCCTTCAACAGATGAATAGATAAAGAAAATATGCTATGTATACACAAAGGAATATTACCCAGCCATAAATAAGAATGAAACTATGGTGGCATTTGCTGGTAAATGAATGGAACTGGAGACCATCATATTAAAAGAAATAAGCCAGTCCCCCAAAACTAAAGGCCAAATGTTCTGATATGTGATGCTAACATACCATATGAGTAGGGAAGGGAAGAATAGCAGTTCATTGGATTAGAAAAAAGGGAATGAAAGGAAGGGAGGGGAGATGGGAATAGGACAGTAGAATGAATCAGACATAACTATCCTATGTTTATATATGAGTACATGACCAGTGAAACTCCACATCATGTAAACCAAAAGAATGTGATCCTAATGAGAATAAGTTATACTCCTTGTCTGTATAATATGTCAAAATACACTCTGACATGTATATCTAAAAAGAACAAATAAAAAATATGCATTTAAAAAAGTGAAAAAGAGAGCTGGGGTTGTGGCTCATTGGTAGAGCACTTGCCTAGCATGTGTGAGGTACTGGGTTTGATTCTCAGCACTGCGTATAAGTAAATAAAGGTCCACCAACAACTAAAAAACTATTTTAAAAAAAGTGAAAAAAGATTCCTGTGTCATCCTTACACTACTCAATCACATTGGAGGTTGAATGAGGAAGAATATGTTTTTTTTTTTTTAAAAGCTCCTCAGGTGATTTCTGAGTGTCAGCTAGGTTTGATGGTTATGTTAAAGAAGATAGAATTGTCTCTAGAATAATCATCTGAGCATGAATCAGGATCAATAAAAATGTTTCTAGTGTGGAGAGAAAGGAGACAAATGACATCTTGTGAAAAGTTGAGTGTATACAACTTTTGGAGTAAATGGTCATAGTTGTGCTGATTGCCCCCCAGACAGGTTATACCCCAAAACAGGCCATGATGAAAGTGAGGCAGATAAAGTTGAGCCATCTTCAAGGTCACCAGCTGAAAAAAGTACAACAACAGCTGCTAGAATTATTTAGAGAAGCCACAAGGGATGGAAAAGGCATTAAAAGAACTTCACAAAAATCTTCTAAAAATATAAAAATTTTAGGTATTGGAGAATGAAAGATTAGAGGTAAATGGATGGAGTAGCTGAGAATGAACAAGAAGTGATATAGGATAATATCTGGAGAAGAAAAGACAATTTTTGCTGGAAAAAAAGAGATAATAAACTTACCCTCATGGGCTGGGGCTGTGGCTCAGAGGTAGAGTGCTTGTCCAGCATGCGTGAGGCACTGGGTTCCATCCTCAGCACCTCATAAAAGTAAAATAAGGATTGTGTCCATCTATAACTAAAAAGTAAATGTTAAAAAAAAAAAGAGAAAGAAAACCATAAACTTCAGAAGAGAGAAATTGAGAAGTCTCAGGAAGAACAGTAAATGCATTTTAATTCATTAACTTGGAAATGGCTAAATAGCAAGCAGAGCAAGGATAATTGGCCTATTGTAGATGTACTCCAAATCTCAGAAAAACAAGTATCATAGAAAGGTAGAGGTTAAACTTCCCAAGGCAATAAAGTTGATAACAAGGGGAAATAAATGAGGGAGTACAAAATAATACTTGAAGGATAACTAAAATTATACAAATATAGGTGAAGTTTAACTTAAGGTAGAGGAGAATAAGTATACAAAGAGCATGGGACAGTAATGTCTAAGGAGTTGCTCAGCACACATTTACCTCAACATTCTATAATAAACCCAAAGCCAGTATCATATTGAACAGAGAACAACTGAAGCATTTCCTTTAAAATCAGGAAGAAGACAAGGATGTCCACTCTCACCACTTCTATTCAATATAGTGCTTGAAACTAGCTGAAGCAATCAGGCAGGAGAAGGAAATTAAGAGGACACAAATAGGAAAAAACTAAGTCAAATTATCTGTGTGCTGATGAAATGATCCTGTATCTAGAAGACCCAGCAAATTCCACTGGAAGACTTTTACAGCTGATAAACGAATTGAACAAAACAGCAGGATTCAAGGACAACATTCATACATCAGTAGCTTTCCTAAACTCCAACAGTGATTCTACTGAGAAAGAAGGAAGATGATGAAAGAAATTGAAGAAGACTTCATATAACTGAAAAGCTCAGACCCTATCTCCAATGCCAATCAATACCAAAATTAATAATGAGGATATGGTTTTGAGAAAAAGGAAAAAGAAGTTTTATTGCCTTGCTAGCAAAGGAGAAACACAGGGGACTCCTGTCCCAAAGGCTGTGACTCCAGATCAGGAGGGACAGGGGGGTTTTAAAGCAATTTCTCAAGGGTTACATTCATGGTGCCACTGGTCCCAGGGCACCATGATGACTGTTCAGATATACTTTGGGAGATATTCACTTCCCAGATCCTCAGCAGGCATCTCCTTCCTGTAGTGGGTATGTTCAAGGGCAGTTAACTAGGGGAAGAAAAGATAACATTGTCTCCCTAATCTTGTTAGGGAGGGGCAGAGGTGAGAAGAGAGAAAATAAATAAACAAATAAATAAATAAATCTTAGAGCAATAAGGGCTACATTTGGAAGGTGAAGGGACCACTGTTACATTTCTCTACTGTCAATTTCTACCTTCTATTTTTATGGAAAAGTGGGGAACGACATCTCCAAGCTACTTCATGCTGAGAGAGGGCAAAGTTGGGGGAAAGTGACCCAATGTCTTTGTTTTCTGTCAGGTGGGGTATGGACAATTAACGGTATTCAGCATCACAGCAGTCCAGAGGTCCATGGTGGTAGTTGGCAGGTGACTGGACAAGGTATACATAGGGCAAGGTTTATGCTAGGACAACAATAAACAAGACAACAAAGCATTACATTTTTGGCAAACAATTAATATGAAAACAATTAGTATTTCAGCCAGTCTCTCGAATGCAGGACAACCTTGTGTCTCTAGAGTCCTTTGTGATAGTTAAATATTAGGCACTTTCATAAGTACCCTTCCTTAAAGCCTCCAGCTTTACTTTTGGTAGAGCTGATACAAGTGTACATTAAAACAACAACAACAACATTATTTTTCCTTTAAATGTCCATGTAGGACTGTGCTCAGGTTATTCTCTTCAGCTAGGTGTTCAAGACAAAGTTGGTCAAAACTGACCTTGTTCCTATCTAAAGAGTCATCTGAGATTCATCAGAAATCACTCTTGGGGACATGTGTGAAGCCTCCTGGGTCCTTTAGGTTTCCTCTATCAGTGGTGCCATGTGCCAGGATGGGTCAGGTCAGGGTCTTGATGACCACATATGTAGTTTCTCTTGGATGCTTCAGGCATTTTATCTTCCACTGACTGACCCTCCTCTTTGTGGAATATGGTTGGCTTTCTGTTGTCTGTGGTCCTCTCGATCTCCTTCTTTGGCAGATCAGGTGACTCACTGGAGTTTCAGAGCCCTTAGAGGGGTCCCATCATTTTCTCGGTGTTGGCTGACTTTAGAGGGCAAGGGGCAAATATTGGCTGCTTTTTCCTTTGCCCTTTTATTTCCTTGACTTTGGTCTCCAAATTTTTGGTTTTAAATACCCAGCAAGCCAGTTTCACCAGTCTTAGAGAGGGAGTAACAGGTTATAGCTTTAATATCTGTAATTTCACAGTTACCCCTTTCATTTAATTGGGTTAGTATTAGTACTACAAGTTAGCATTATATACTATTTGCCCTGTAGGTGATGGCTTATTCTCCTAAGTTAACCCGAGTTGTTTTTTTTAATTTTTCTTTTAGAAGCAGTACCTCTACAAAACACAAACAGGCAACACTTAATGAAGTTTACAAGGAAAATACAAAATGAAATTAACAGAGAAAAAACATTCGGTTTGTGTAATAGCTATGAACCAAGAAAAATAACTTTTAAATTTTTGAAACTTTACTTAGTTATATTTTATATCCCCTGTTTGAGATTACAGTAATTTTTACAACAAATAACACAACTTTACATGAGCTGAAGACTAGCCTCTTTTGGAGCCATTCTAACATAGACCAAGCTGGGAGGCAGAGCCTTATCTCAGGTAATGTTATTCACGAATAACATAATACATCATTACATCAGAAACATGACTCAAAGAAAAGCTTAGAGAGCTTTTAACCCTTTTTTGTGGAAAAGTGGTAAAAATGTTTTCATGTTTTACAACATCCACCTTTAACCAGATCAGGCACTCATTATCGATAATTTTTTAAAAAAATACATTTACCCAGTGTAAAAGTAACATAAAATTTTACACACATTTTGGGCTGGGGTTGTGGCTCAGTGGTAGAGAACTTGCTTAGGACATGAGAGGCCCTGAGTTCCATCCTCAGCAAGCAACACATGAAAATAAATGAATAAAATAAAGGTATTGTGGGGCTGGGATTGTGGCTCAGCAATAGAGCGCTCACCTAGCACTGGTGGGACCCGGGTTCTATCCTCAGCACCACATAAAATAAAGGCATTCTGTTGTGTCCATCTACGCCTAAAAAATAAATATTTAAATTAAAAAAAGGTATTGTGTCCAACTACAACTAAACAATAAATATTTAAAATTTTTTTACATACATCTTATTGATAACATCCTTTTATAGAACATTAAATGACATAAAGAAATCTCCAATTAAATTTTTTATTTAAGTTTAAAATTACCATTTCAGACAGCTTTAGTTTGGAGAACATAGCTTGGTAAAGTGCTTTTCCAAGCTTTATATTTTAAAACTTGAATATTAGAAGAACATGAGTATACTTAATATACAAAGAACTAATAGTTAGCATCACCATTACACAGATGTCCTTATATTAACTAGGTTTAAAAGTCAGAATTCATAGATTATTACAGGTTTGCAGTTTAGCAGTACTAGCAAAGATCAAAGAATAGCCTTAAGTCTCTTATAAATTTAGGGAACAGTGTTAATGATCAGAACTAGACTTAGTTAAAGCAGACAGATTTAATATCAGTTTCTCAAATGGCAGTGTTGCCCTTTTATGCCAGATGCAATATATAAAAGATAACACTTATTGGTTAAACTTACGTGAACTTGCATTTTGTACACTTTTATAGAACATTTAGTAAGGCTCAAACAAACATTTAGTTTTAGATATATACATATTTCTAGTTACATATTTTTAGGTTTTTCGTGAAAAAAATCAAGCCTGGCCAAACTTGTAAGTTATCTGTTTCTCAAAGAAAAGTCCTAAAACTAATGAACATCACACTTTTTTAAAAATATTTATTTTATTTCTTAGTTTTAGGTGGACACAATATCTTTATTTTACACGTATGTGGTTCTGAGGATTGAATTCAGTGCCTCATGATGCTAGTCGAGCACTCTACCACTGAGCCACAACCCCAGCCCCTGGACATTACACTTTAATATTTTGTAGCTCAAGCCTTGCACAATTTTTTTTTTTTTTAAACAGGCAGGATAGGCAGAGTTATCTGGAAAACTGACTCAATTCACATTTTTAACAGTCTAGAAGAGAATGAATCCTCAGAATCCCCAGTAAGGTATCTCTCCTTAAGCGGTTATCTCCTCCTCAGGGGCAAGTTATTTCCTCCTCAAATAAAATCTTGGTTAAGAAAACATTGATCACTTTTTTCAGGGTCCCTCTGGCCTAAAAGGCCTTATTCACTTCTAGGAGATCTCCAGCAGAGCAGGTTCTGTTTTCTTTTCCTGGTAGACACTTACAAATGAAGTTGTTATTTTTTGGGTAAGCATGCTATCTGTACACTTAATTTTCATTTTATCCCAGGAGAGGGATCAGACAGTCTGGCATATTTAAACAACAACATCAACAATAAAACAAAAAAAACCTGTGCCTTAAATCTTTTTCCTTCCAGTTTGTGCTCAAGAGGTTGGAACACAGATTATAGTTGTTTGACCAGTCTCTCTTATCATCATCATAATGCCGTCAACTTTGAGTTCCCCACTGTCAATTGTACTTAGAGATTCTCTCTCTGTATATATATGTATCTAGACATTCTGTCCAATGAAGGTCACATTGACCATACAAAGTTTTTTAGGGACCTCTCTACAGAAATCAGCAGAGGCAAGACATAGGTGCTTGGATTCATGGAGCTGGGGCCTTTGCGTTTTAGCTTTTTGGGCAACAGGTAGGACTGCACTCTGGCCAAATAGGGCATCCTGTCAGATCTTAAAAAGGGGAGACTATTTTTTTCCCCAGGTTATGATTTTACTTTATAGTACTGGAACCCATTGCCCCTTTCCTTGTGACTAGCAGCTATTTTAATATTTTAATATTATTTTAATATTTTTACCCCTCATTAAGATAGGCTAGTTCGGGCTGTGGTTGTGGCTCAGAGGTAAAAGATAGGCTAGTTTATTCTCAGACAATGAGTGTAATGGCACCAGATAAGTTTTATTTTTTTCCTAAATGTAAAGGCAACCTTATGAAGTTATGCATTCCAGTCTACTCCTTTATCCCCCAAGTGCCAGGGAAAATAGAAATTGGGGTGAACCCAAATGGAGGTTGCAAAAAAAAAAAAAATCAGATTTGAGGACTAAAAGCATACAGCAAAATAGAAAGTCATAGGCCAAGTCTCTTTCGTAGCTTCCCAGCATTCATACAGCTTAGATTTCAACAATTAGTTCCAATGCTTTTAATGTCTATTCAGCATGGACTCTGATCAGTGCCATTATCCAGAAGCCTTAAGTCCCCAGACTAGTACACTCAAATGGAAAAGTTTTCCACAAGTTTGCCCCTCTCATGAAGGGGAGTTTCATTTTTTAATTCTCACTCAAAACTAATTTTAATTTTTAAAATTTTTATCCTCTACTATCATCCATGGATTTCATTCTTTGAACTCATGAGAACGTAGAAAGAAAATCGGTGAGACCTAGAACCCACATGTATGTTATATATCAGCAGAAGCAGCAAACTGAGCCCTGTTCTCAAACTCCAGTTTTATTCTCATGGGCAAAGAGTGGCTAAAAAGCAGAGTAGAGGCCAGGTCTTTTTGCCCATTTCTCTATAGACCAGGAGCTTTTGAGTTTTATTTATCTATCTATCTATCTATCTATCTATCTATCTATCTATCTATCTATCTATCTATCTATTTATTTTTCCTTTATCCCAGAACTGGTGTCCCTGACCCTAGTGGGTTGAATTGCAGTTGCCTGGGGCTAGGCTGAAAAATGGTATTGAGACTGTCAGCACTGGGTTGAAAGAGAAAAAAAAAAAATCTTTTTTTCAATCCTCCATTGGTGTCTGCTATGCTCATACATTAGAGGCAGCACCTTTTGCATCCATATTAGTTTTTGATTGTTAAGTCTCCTTATTATATAATGGCATACATGCCTGTACAAACAGAATACTTATTTTATCTGTGACAGATCAACTCACAACTGCAAGATTGTACAATAATTCAGGAAACCATTCAAAGACCAGATATTGTTATAGTAAAACATCATCTTTTCTTTAGACACGTTTACATCTATAGGTAGCCCATTCAGCCAAGATCTTTCCCAAGAAACAATCTATAGGATCAACATACTATTGCCTATGTCTTAAAGGACCAGAAACAGATATAAACAACAACAACAACAACAACAACAAAAAAAAAAACAATAACAAACAGGATCCTCAAACCATGGCCAACAGATAGGGGAAAAAAATCTCCCAAAGTTCCTGCTTAACCGTGACTCCTATACCAGTGGCACCACAGATGTCCCCACATATTTTCCCCAGTTAACAATGTTTTTTGTATAAATCTGGTTCAGGGGCTGAGGCTGCAGCTCAATTACATAGCACTTGCCTAGCATGTGTGAGACCCTGGGTTTGACCCTCTGCACCACATAAAAATAAATATATAAATAAAGGTATTGAGTCCATCTACAAGTAAAAAAAAAAAAAAAAAATTTTTTTTTTTTTTTAAATCTGGTTTTACACTCAACTCAAAGGTGGATCAAGGACCTAGGAATTGAACCAGAGACCCTAGCAGACCCAAATCTCCATCATATCAGATTAGGCCCCTACTTCCTTAATAAGACTCCTATAGTACAAGAATTAAAACCAAGAATCAATAAATGGGATGGAATCAAGCTAAAAAGTTTCTTCTCAGCAAAGGAAACAATCTGTGAGGTAAACAGAGAGCCCACATCCTGAGAGCAAATTTTTAATCCTCACACATCAGAGCACTAATCTCTAGAGTATATAAAGAACTCAAACAACTAAACATTGAAAAAACAAATAACCCAATCAACAAATGGGGCAAGGAACTGAACAGACACTTCTCAGAAGAGGATATACAATCAATCAACAAATATATGAAAAAATGCTCATCATCTCTAGCAATCAGAGAAATGTAAATCAAAACTACTATAAGATACCATCTCACTACAGTCAGAATGGCAGCTATTATGAAGAAAAACAACAATAAGTGTTGGAGAGGATGTGGGGAAAAGGTATACTTATATATAATTGGTACAGCCAATATGGAAAGCAGTATGGAGATTCCTTGGAAATCTGGGAATGGAACCACCATTTGACCCAGCTATCCCTCTCCTGGGACTGTACCCAAAAGACTTATAAAAAAGCATAATACAGGGACACAACCATATCAATGTTTATAGCAGCACAATTCACAATAGCTAAACTATGGAGCCAACCTAGATGCCCTTCAGTGAATGAATGGATAAAAGAAATGTGGCATATATACACAATGGAATTTTACTCAGCATTAAAAGAGAATAAAAATCATGGCATTTGCAGGTAAATGGATGGTGTTGGAGAAGAAATGCTGAGTGAAGTTAGCCAATCCCCAAAAAACAAATGCCGAATGTTTTCTCTCATATAAGGAGGCTGACTCATAGTGGGGTAAGGAGGGGGACCATGGGAGGATTAGATGAATTCTAGATTGGGAAAAGGGCTGGGAGGGAAAGGGAGGGGGCAGGAGATTAGCAAGGACTGTGGAATGTGATGGACATCATTATCCAAAGTACATGTATGGGGTGTCAACATACTTTATATATAAACAGAGATGAAAAATTGTGGTATATATGTGAAATAAGAATTGTAATGCAAAAAAAAGTACATGTATACAGGCATGAATTGGTATGAATATACTCTATATTCAAAGATATGAAAAATTGTACTCTATATGTGTAATAAGAATTGTGATGCATTCTGCTGTCATGTATTTAAAAAATGAAATCAATAAAACGAAAAAAATAATAAATTTTTGTAATTTACATTTACATAAAAAAAAAATGAATTATGTGGCTCTTTGTAGTAGACTTGGGTGTAGCAAGGTGTTTTGAGCATTGGAAAAGATTTTTCCCTAAGAGGGTCTCACTATGTTTCCCTGGTTATCTTTGAACTCCTGGGCTGAAGTGGTCCTCCTCCTTTAGTCTCCAGAGTAGAGTGGCTGCAACTACAGGCATATTGAAATTTGGATTGCAGTCTGTCTGGCCATAGATGAAAATTAAGCAAGGGATTGCCACAGTCTGGCTGGGCACAATCAGGAGCCACTTGTCAAAAGAAACTAACTTTATTTTTAGAACCACACACGGCAAACAAAACAGCTCCTCAGGAAAAACCCTCAGAGCCCAACTGCCACAACCGGCTTCCCACAAGCCTCTCTCCCAAAACCACAAGCCTCTCCACCTCCCACAATCCTCCTGCTCTTGAGGCCAATTGGCTGGGTCATGTGGGCGGAGCCAAAAAAGTCCCCCAATGAGCAGCTCTGTGGTCTGAAAGGGCAGGGAAACAGCCCAATGAGCATCACTGCAGAGGAGCCAATCAGCTAGATGTTGCTAGGGCCGCTTTGAGCCAATCATCAGCTGGCAGTCTGAAAGGGCGGGAAACAGCCCAATGAGCATCACCACAGAGGAGCCAATCAGCTAGATGTTGCTGGGGCCACTGTGAGCCAATCATCAGCTGGCAGTCTGAAAGTTTGCTGGGGCCCCTTCGGCTGTGGCTCTCAACAGATGGACTATGTCTGTGAAGGTCTATTTGTCTATCTGGCCAAATCACCCATTATCCATACCTGTCTCTTATCTGCAAGTAAATTTGAAAGAAAAAAATTATTTGGTATCTTTCTTGCCTATTATAAGTAGAATATCCTGGATGTTATAAGTGAATAAAAGGTCTTAAAATAATAATTTAAAAATACCCCTAATGAATCCAGATAATGAGCATCCTTTTATAAATAATGAATTAAATTATACTTTTTAGAGTTTATGTGTTATCACCTGTCTGGAATATATTTAGGAAAAGAAGAAAAGTATTCCTATAGTTTTGTCAATTCAACAGAAGAGTATGTGTGGCAAAGTGAAAATAATTTATTTTTCCATTAGGTAATAGTAAGAACTAAAATTAATTTTTCAAGAGCTGGGAAGTTTTGGCAGACTCATTTAGAAGATAAGCAAATTACTTTTGGGATACGAGGAAACTAAAAGTAATAGGAGGAATAACTAGAAGAGAAGTTTTTTTTTTTTTTTTTTAGAGGTGATGGGATGGTGGAGGTATCAAAGGAAGTAAAGGCTCTGAGAATGGTTAAAGCTAAAGGAATTAAAGAGCTAAACAGTCCTATCTGTGTGCAGATATGATTAATGAAAAGCATAAAAGGAAAAAGAGTTGAAGAAATTGGAACAAATATTAAAAATCAGAAAGCAAATAGGAGAAGTCTTTATAACCAGACTCAAGCAAACATAAGCTTAAAGCCAAAATATAAGTCATGGATTTCCACTTCTTAGATTTTTGCAAGGAGATTTGGTAGGTGAAAACACATTTAGTTTCCTTAAGTTAATATTGAATGTTTGAGGAATTTTTTTAACTTGTTTGACATGAGAAGAATTTGAGGGGTGGGGATTTTAGGTGAAGAAATGGGTGATCAGGTGGCTGTAATATTGTGTCAAAAAGATGAGCAAATAATGCAACAACAGACACCTAGGTTCTGTAAGTGAGCAAACCAAAAAGTTACTGAAGAGGGAAAGGAACTTCTGGGTTTAATGGCCACAGCCACTGGAGTCTGTATTAATCATTAAGCACATTCTTAGCATGTCTTTGGAAGTGGAGTTGATAAGCAGAATGAAACTGGCATTAATAGGAAGTGGGAGAAATCTGAGAACTGGTACCTGCTATTAATATTAAACACTGAATAAAAGATTTTTTGTAAAAATCTTGTAGGAAAGATTGATGGGAATAGTAGAGAAGATGAGATGCCAAGGGAACAATTTGCCATAAATGAGATGTGAAGAAGCTAAGTGAAAAAAATAACAGTATATGGCAAAGGAATGTGGTGGGAAATAAATTTATTATGCTTAGATTAAGAAAAGGCTTTCATTAAGTCAAGCTGTGATTTTCTCTTTAATATGCAAAATACATTGTTCCAGGGCTGTTTTTAGAAATGTGAGAACTTAAATATATTGAGATCAGCATCTCCATTCTTCTTTATTTTATTTGTTTATTTTTATCTGGTGCTGAGGATCGAACCCAGTGCCTCACGCATGCTAGGCAAGCGCTCTTCCATTGAGCTACAGCCCCAGCCCAACATCTTCATTTTTAATAAAGAATTTTGAAGAGAAAATTGAAATGATAAGAATAAAGCAGTATTCCCCATATAATCCTCTACTTTTTTTGTAATGTATAGATTGACTTATCCTTTTAAAAATTTTATTTAAGTATATAAGTACAGAAAGGAGATAGTCCAAGGAAGCTGATGCCATTCATGACTTCTATTTTAATAATTTTTTATTTGTTCTTTTTTTAAATTATGCATGACAGTAGAATGTATTTTGATATACATACATGGAGTATAAGTTTCCATTTTTGTGGTTGCATATGATGTGGAATTACACTGGTCATGTATTCATATCAACATAGAAAGTTATGTCCACTTCATTCTATGTCATCTCTATTCTCCTCTCCTCTCTCTTCCCCCATCTTCCCTTGTCCAATCTGGTGCATTCAAGAATAGCATCCCCTCTAGCAATTTCAGAAACAGGTTTAAAATAGAGATTACTGAGAAGCCGACATAGTATCATAAAAATGTGTTAAAAAACAAGTAATATACACTTTTTGAAAACAAGACTACATGTTATGTTCTTTGGAGGGGCAACAAATACAAAAGGAAATTGAATCATGAGAACAAAGAGATCAGTAAAGAATGTAAACATTTACCCTCCTACAAAGGCGTGTCTTTGGTTCCCAGTCTTTGGAGGAAAAGAAATGTGGATTTGGAGAAGTGTGGGGCCAGCTTGCTCCTCCAGGACTCCAAACAATCATTCCACATAGAGGGGGAAAAAAAAAGAATGTAAACATAGGCTAACTGAGAGTTAGTAGATAGCAGTTCTTAATAATTGATCAAATAATTGTTGTTAGTTTTTTCTGCTGCCTGTGAAGTTTTCTTTTAGTGATCTTATTCCAATGGCTTTGAATACCTTTTGCATGCTCATTTCTCTGTAATCATCCCCAAGTTCCTGACCCATATGCCCAACTGTGTACTGAAGATCTCTTCTTGGGTATGTCAGAAATGCCTCAAAGTCAATTGGTCCAGATCTGAAAAAATAATTTCCCCGCTTCACCCACAAGTGTCTTTCTCTTTTTCTGTTTTACAGAGAATTGTATTCTTACTCATCACATCCTTCTGTTTTTTTTTCTTTCTAATACTGAGCTCTATCCCCAGTAATTTTTATTTTTCATTTTGAGACATGGTTTCCCTAAATTGCCCAGGGTGGCCTCTAACTTGCAATCCTTCTTTATTAGCCTCCTGAGTAGTTGGGATTTCAGACCTATGCCACCACACCTGGTTAGAAATCTTAACATAATCCTCGACATTTCTTTTGTTGAATCTCTTAGTTTTCTGATCTAATCAATCAGCAGGAGGATTCATTCTTCAACTTTAATATTTCTCATTTATTTATCTCTCTGTTCATATTAGTTTAGACCATGGGTTGGCAGACTTCTATAAAAGTATGGATATTAAATACTTTAGGCTTTGCAGGCCATATAATCTGTCCCTGCTAGTATGTCTGGGAAGTAGCCACAGACAATATGTAAATGATTGTTGTGACTGATTTCCCATGAAATCTTCATTGAAATTTGAATTTCATTTAATTCATAAAAATATTTATATATATCACAAAGTTTTTTTTTTCCCTTCTCCCCATTTAAAAACTGTAACAACTAGGCCAGGTGTGGTTGGTGCCACATGCTAATGATTGCAGCTATTTGGGAGGCTAAGGCCTACAAGTTTGAGGCCAGCCTGGGCAACTTAATAAAAATAAAAAGAGCTGTCAATACAGGACATTGGTAGAGCGTTTTCCTAGCAAGGGATCCTGGGTTTAATTGCCAGTACTACAAAACAAAAACCCATATGAAACAAACTAACAACTGGGTTATAGCACAGTGGAAGAGCACTTAAGGTCCTGGCTACCATCCCCAGCTCCAAAACAACAACAATAAACTATGGTTCAACATACAGAAATCAATAAATATAATTCATCACATCAATAGACTTAAAGATAAGAACCATATGATTATAACAATTGATGCAGAGAAAGCATTTGACAAAATATAGCACCCTTTCATGTTCAAAACACTAGAAAAACTAGGGATAATAGGAACATTCCTCAACATTGTAAAAGCTATCTAGGTTAAAGCCGAGACCAACATCATTCTAACTGCAGAAGAATTGGAAGCATTCCCTTTAAAAAATGGAACTAGACAGGGATGCCCTCCTTCACCACTTCTATTCAACATAGTCCTTGAAACTCTAGCCAGAGCAATTAGACAGACAAAATAAATTAAAGGAAAAGAAGAATTCAAACTACCATTATTTATTGATGACATGATTCTATACTTAGAGGATCCAAAAAACTCCACCAGAAAACTTCTAGAATTAATTAATGAATTCAGCAAAGTAGCAGGATATAAAATCAATACCCATAAATCAAATACATTTCTTTTTAAAAAAATATTATTTATTCATTTTTATGTGGTGCTAAGGATCGAACCCAGTGCCTCACATGTGTGAGGCAAGCACTCTACCACTGAACTACAGCCCCAGCCCTCAAATGATTTCTATACAACAATGACGAATCCTCTGAAAGAGAAATTAGGAAAACTACCCCATTCACAATAGCCTCAAAAAAATAAAACAAAACTTGGGAATCAACAAAAGGGGTGAAAGACCTCTACAATGAAAACTACACAATACTCAAGAAAGAAATTGAAGAAGACCTTAGAAGATGGCAAGATCTCCCATGCTCTTGGATAGGCAAAATTAATATTGTCAAAATGGCCATTCTATCCAAAGTGCTAAACAGATTCAGTGCAATTCCAATTAAAATCCCAACATCATTCCTTATAGAAATAGAAAAAGCAATCATGAAATTCATTTGGAAAAATAAAGAGACCCAGAAAAGCAATCCTTAGCAAGAAGAGTGAAGCAGGAGGCATCACAATAGCAGACCTTAAACTATACTATAAAGCTGTGGTAACAAAAACAGTATGGTATTGGCACCAAAATAGACATGTAGACCAATGGTATAGAATAGAAGATGCAGAGACAAACCCACGTAAATACATTTATGTCCAAATATACAAAGGGCCAAAAACATACATTGGAGAAAAGATAATCTCTTCAACAAATGGTGCTAGGAGAACTAAAAATCCATATGCAGCAAAATGAAAATAACCACTATGTCTTACCATGCACAAAAGTCAACTCAAAAGTGGATCAAGGACCTAGGAATTAGTCCAGTGACCCTGCGCCTAATAGAGAAAAAAGTAGTCCCAAGTTTTCATCATATCAGATTAGGCCTCAACTTCCTTAAGAAAACTCAAGTGCAAGAAATAAAAATCAAGAATTTATAAATGGAATGGACTCAAACTAAAAAGCTTCTCAGCTTAAGAAACAATGATGTAAACAGGGAACCTATATTTTGGGAGCAAATTTTTGCCACATACATGTCAGATAGAGCACTAATTTTCAGGATATATAAAGAACTCAAAAAACTTAACAAAAAACCAACCCAATCAATAAATGGGCTAAGGAGCTGAGCATACACTTTATAGAAGATATACATTCAATCAACAAATGTATGAAAAAATGTTCAGTATCTCTAGTAATTAGAGAATTGCAAATCAAAACTATTCTAAGATTTCACCTCATGCTAGTAAGAATGGCAGTTTTCAAGAATATAGACCACGGGGACACAGCTCAGTTGGCAGAGTACTCGCCTTGCATGCACAAGGCCCTGGGTTCAATCCTCAGCATTGGTGAGGCATTTAGCAACTCAGTGAGAACTTGTCTCTAAATAAATACAATAGGGATGGAGATGTGGCTCAGTGGTTGAGTGCCCCTGAATTCAATCCCCAGTACCCACTGCCAAAAATACAACAAACAAAAAAACATAATAAATAAATGTTGGTGAGGATATGGGGGAAGAGGCATACTCATACATTGCTGGTGGGATTGCAAATTGGTGCAACCAATCTGGAAAGCAGTATGGAGATTCCTCAGAAAACTTAGGATGGTACCACCATTTGACCCAGCTATCCCACTCCTCAGTCTATACCCAAAGGACTTAAAAATCCCCATACGTAGTAATGCAGCTCAATTCACAATAGCTAAACTGTGGAACCAACCTAGATGTCCTTCAATACATGAATGGATAAAGAAGCTATGGTACATAGACATAATGGAATATTACTCAGCATTAAAAGAAAATTATGGCATTTGTAGGTAAATGGACGGAGTTGGAGAAGATCATGCTAAGCAAAGTAAATCAATCCCAAAAAACTGAAGGTCGAAAGTTCTCTCTTGAAAAGTAGATGCTGATCCATAATGGGGATGGGGGAGGCATGGGAAAAATGGAGGAACTTTGGGCAAAGAGGAGGGAGGGGAGGGAGGATATACAGGGTCAGGAAAGATGGTGGAATGAGATGGACATCATTACCCTAGGTACATGTATGACTGCACATATGGTGTGATGTCACATTGTGTACAACCATAGAAATGTAAAGTTGTGCTGCAGTTGTGTACAATGAATCAAAATGCATTCTGCTGTCATATATACCTAATTTAAATAAATAACTAAAAATTAAAAAAAAAAACAATGAACTAAACGAGGCATGGTGGCACCTGCCTGTAATCCCAGCTGCTCAAGAGGCTGTGGCACGAGGATCTCAAGTTTTAAGCCAGCCTAAACAATTTAGCAAGACCCTGTTTAAAAACTAAAAAGGGCCAGGCACGGTGGCACATACCTATAATCCCAGTGTCTCGGGAGGCTGAGGTAGGAGGATTGAGTTTAAAGTGAGTTTAAGCCAGCCTAAGCAAAAGTGAGGTGCTAAACTACTCAGTGAGACTCTGTCTCTAAATCAGTGCAAAATAGGGCTAGGGATGTGGCTCAGTGGTCAAGTGTCCCTGAGTTTAATCCCCTGTACCCAAAATCTAAAAAGGACTGGGAATGTAGCTCGGCTGTAAAGGATCAATCTTTAGTAATGCAAAAATAAATAAAAAACAAAACAATAATAAAAACTGTAACAACCATCTTTAGTTTGTTATCCTTACAAAAAGGATTCACAGACCATAGTTTGCACAACATTGGCTTAACCAACATATTCTCTTACCTCTATTGTGACCATAGTCTCTGTTTTCATCTTTCTCCCTCTAATCTTGCTTCCTCTGGTTTTCTCTTCAGACTGCATTTCATTTCCTTATTTAAAAGTCCTTAAAGAGTTGACCATGTTATTTTATGGGATGTACCTACATTGTTTGTCAGATCCTTTATAATATAGACCTTGTTTATCTTTCTGTATGTCTTACCACATTTCCCTAAATTTTCTGTTCCAACTTCTTGGAACTGTTTGCAATTCCTAGAATATTCAGTGTTTTTCACTTCAAGTTTTGACATGCTTCGAATATCTTTCCTCCTTACTTCTCCTGCCTTCCATTTGGCTAAACACTGTTCTTTCTGCAGGAGTCATTTCAGCCATGGTCATCATCTCTAGGATGTTTCCTCTTTTCCCCCAAGGGTAGTTTTAAAGTGCTTTCCCAACTAAGTTCTCCTATCATGTCTATAGAACCCAATGATATAATTTATTTTGCTATATTGTAATTGCCCAGTTACCTAACTCCCTCTTCAAAACAGTGAGCTCCTTCCTTCAGTACATAGAGTTTTTTCATTGTTTTATCTTGTACATTTTCTTTCATGTTAAAAAATTGAGATACAACTCATGCACCATAAAATTTACCTTTTTAAAATATAATTCAGGGGGTTTTAGTATATTCATAATGTTGTATAATTATCACTATTATCTAATTCCAGAACATTTTCATCCCCAGAAAACAAATCCCATGCCCATTAAGAAGTCACTCCTCAAGGTAGGGGACATAGCTTAGTGGTAGAATGTGTCCTCACCATGCATGATGCCCTGGGTTTGATCCTTAGCATGGAAAATAAAAATAAAAATAAAAATTCCTCATTCCTTCCTACCTCCAACCATTAATCTTACTTTCTGTCTTTGTGGATTTGTCTGTTCTTTATAATTCACATAGATGGAATCAGACAGTATTTGTCCATTGTGACTGATCTCTTCCACACAGCATATATAATGTTTTCAAATGTTTTATCATGTACTAGGACTTCATTCATTTTATATGACTGCATATCAACATTTTAAACTTCATTCTTCAAACCCCTTAGAAATTTAGAATGGAATGGGACTCCTAGACTCTGACTCTTGCTTCAAAACAGTTCGGCTTTCTCTGCTACTTGTTTATGGATAAACATTCATGTTGAATTTGAAAGTCACTAGCCTTTTGATTGAAGAATAGATTTCACCTGGTTCTAAAGGGGATGCTTTACTACTTAGCCACTTCCCCAGTCTTTTTTGGTTTTGTCTCACTAAGTTGCTTAGGGCCTTTCTAAGTTGCTGAGGCTGGCCTCAAAGTTGCCATCCTCCTGCTTCAGTCTCCCAAATTGCTGGGATAATACTCATGAGTCATCGTGCCTGGTATACTTTCGAACTTTTGAAAGTTGTTACACTGTATATCAAGTAAAGTGAATATTTTCATGCAAATTTCAAAGAAGCATTATAAAATTAGAATTTATATAATTTCTTTTTGAAAAGAGATAGGGTATAAATAATCAGTTTTTGTTTGCATTTATGATCAAGCACAAAATGAATATGATGAGCAAAATAAGATACATATGAGGAAAACTGTATTCTTTAGTAAAATGAAAACTTAATTTTTTTCAGGTTAAACTACAGAACAACATATCATATCAGATGGCAGACATACATCATTTAAAGGGTAAGAAACTTAATTATATTAAAGATAGAGATTATTAAAAGTCTATTCAAGAATTAAGAAATACTAGTTAGGTAAATGAGAGAATTTTCTGAACAAAGCTTCTCTGATGACAAAACATTTATCCCTTTATCCTAAGATATAATGAAAAATTATTTAATGTTGTTTTTTAAGTTGTAAATATAAGTTAAAATTTGAGATCTGTGTCTTAATCTTGTATGTAAACAGAGTTCATGCAATAAAATGTTATTCAAAGAATCCTGAAAGAAAATTGAACTGTAGTAGATTTAGAAGCCATCGAATTTCTATAGAAAAGATGAGTGTTTTCTCTGTGTTGGGTCTAATGTGCTAAAATTCTAATGTGCTAAAATAACATATTCAGATTCAGGGATGCTTTGGACAGGTCCTCTAAGCTTAGTGCTTTGGATTCTCTGGAACCAGAAAGAAACCTGAGTGATAGATAAATATATAATAAATAAAAATACTAATTTTAGCAGTACCCACATATACACATTTTCTCTTTCATGAAGTAATAGAAAGTGACTTATTTCTCTTTCATGAAGTAATAGGAAGTAATAGGAAGTGTTTTTATGGGAAAAATATGTAAAGTGAAGAAGCACTACACTTTGCTTCTGTTGCTTCATATCATCTGCCAGCCTTTTGGAGTTTGGGGTCTGAGGACCAACTCAACCTTTTTGTTTATAGACCTGTGTATTTTAAAACCTTATACACATTGACTCAAAGTGTATATTTTTGGGGATAGTACATGCTTTCTAATTTTGTAAATATCCTTTTATTCTTTTATCATTTTGAGCCTCTTTTATATAGAATTAGATGATCTATTTTTATCATCCTTAAAGAAGCCAACCTAAGCTTTCTTTGTAATGTAGTAAAGTTTTTCTCCTCATCTAGCAAAACTATTTGAAAGTGTTATTTGTGTTTTGCAACCCTAAAATAAAAATTGTTCATTTTTTGGTATCTATGATTTAGAACAACTTTAACTTTGTATCAGAAATGCTTCTTATTTGTTGCATTTGTTTTTGTTGCATCCAGTGTCTTTCTTCTACTCTTTTTGACTCACAGAGTACATTAGTATGACAGAAGATGTGTCACTGTCGTGCTGCTTGCAGTTTGCAGTTTTTACAAATGAGTCCACTAGTTATCAAAGTATATTTTTTGGGTTTCTTGCACCAGGCATATGCATTTAATCCCAGCAGCTCTGGAGGCTGAGACAGGAAGATCGCGAGTTCAAAGACAGCTTCAGCAACTTAGGGAGGCCTTAAGTAACTCAGTGAGACCTTGTCTGTAAATAAAATATTTTAAAATAGGGGCAGGGGATGTGGCTCAGTGATTAAGCGCCCCTGGGTTCAATCCCCAGTATAAAAACATTATATTTCTTATTAAATAGTAATAAGTCAATTGAGTAAGAAGTCCTGTGGCTTCTGTTAATGTATGTTAAGGAAAATAACAACCTATATACTGAGTAAAAATCTTTATGGAACTGAGTGTGTTGAGGTAGATCTTAAAATATTTTGAAATTTTGTGTGGTACTCTTGAGCAGAGAAAAAGACTGATTTGGAGCTATACCTGTATGACTTTTGATTTTTAGTGCACTCACTGAAGCTTAGACTATTTTTTTTTTTTTTAAAGCAATGGGGATTGAACCCAGGGCCTTGAACATGCTAGGCAAACACTTTTCCACTGAACTACATTCTCAGTCCTTTATAAAAATAAATTTATCTTTTTAATTAACTTATTTATTTTATGGTTCTGGGGATTGTGGTTCCAGGGCACTCTACCATTGAGCTACATCCCTGGCTCTTTATTTTGTATTTTGAGACAGGATCTCACTAAGTTGCCAGGCTGGCCTCAAATTTATAATCCTCCTCCTCAGCCTCTAGTTGCTGGGTTATAGACATGAGCTGATTTTTAAGATTGAATTTCATCTTTTATAACTTGAATGGTTTCTAATGAAATAAACTTCTCGACAAGTTAATTACCAAATCCAGATTTGAATTTTTTAAAATTAATACTCAGCATACTGAAATTAATAGATACTGAGACCCTTAAAAAAACTATGGTGATAAATATTTCTTGGAAATGAAATTAATAAGAATTGTTTTTCAAATTCATGAAATAATACATTAACTAGTTTACATGAATTAGTATGCATTTATTTATTTTGAGTGTTTCACCTTCTTTTTGGGCCAATTACAGAAAGAAAATTTGAAGTCAAAATTTTCTAGAAGTAAATATTTTTTTGCTTTAAAAATTCCCAGTGTTAAGAGGACTGGGATATAGCTCAGTGGTAGAATATTTGTCTAGCATGCAAGTTGTCCTGGGTTTAATTCCCAGCATCATGGGGGTGAGTGGGGGAAGCTAGTCCTAAATAACATCTTTCATACCTACCCCTCATTTTTAGAAGTTAAATTAAGGAAGTATAGCCATGCTTTTCTATAACATACTCTGATATTACATTCAGAGATAGAAGGCCCTGCACTATCAGCTGGGGACTTACTTATATTCAATCTTCCCAGCGAATCTTGACCAAGAGCAGCCACAATAGATACATCTTATGCCAGGTTATATAAAGAAAACATATGCCAGTTAGTTGGAAGTTAAATTATGATAAAGAAAAGTTTTGTCTTTACTTTCTGGTCTATTTATTTTTTCTGTTTCAAGTCTTTGTTTTGACTTACTTAAAGCACCAATTGAATCTCTGCTTTTGTTTGTGGTGCTAAGGATTGAACCCAGAGCCAAGTACATGCTAGATAAACACTCTACTACTGAGCCACATCCCCAGCCTTAAATTCCTGCCTTATAATCCTTTTCCTTATCCAAACAGGAAATATTCTGATGGTTTACATGGCCTAAAACTCATTCATACTGTTTTGATTTTTCCTTGTTAATTGTATTTTAAGCTTTTTCTCTTCAATTATAAATGAAAGTTTTGTTTCCTGATGAGGAATTTCAATAGTTTTATGGGGAGACAGCAGCCATTCTACCTCTTGAAATGATACTAAATCTTAGGTTCATTCTGAAGCTACTTCAGGTATTTTACAGACTAGGAAAAGGAAGCCTAAATAAGGAGAAAGTTCTGTAATCTTTCTGTTCCCTTTTTCCTGAAAAGTGTTTACACTAACAATCACCAATTTTAGTTTATTCTTCATAGTTACTGATTTTTTTCTTCTTTTTTTAAATTGAAGTAACCTTCAGTTATAGAACCTATCTAGCCTGAGCACAGGTTTAATGAACTGGTTAGCTTCAAGGCTTTTTGATACTGCTTCTTGCAGGAATCTCATTGTCTCTCTAGAATCAATATTCATAGCTTGGGCCAAGCAGGGTTTCTTCTACTTCCAGCCTGCTAAATCTTAGGAGATGGGAATAGGGATCGGATAACGAACTGAATATATTATTTATGGTTACCTGGCTACTGATTAATCACACTTGTCTGAGGTCAGAATAGATCAACCATGTTACATATTGGAGAACAGAATGAAGTAGAAATTTAAAACATGGCCTAAATATGTAAAGACTATTAACTATAAACATTTTATACAAATATATATTTTTTTCTTTTGTTGTGTTTGACATTGAACCAGAACTCTAGACAAGTTCTATACCAATGAGCTACAAGTCACTAATTTTTCATTTGTATATATATCAACAAATGTTCATGTAACTTAAAAAATTTATTAACTTTTATTGCCACAGTTATAATGCCACCAGACATAATCACTGATCACTTTGATGTAGTTTTATTCTTTTTTTTAACATGGATGCATTTATATGTTTACATCTGAGTTTTTTTGTTTGTTTTTGGTGCTGAGGATTGAAACTAAGACCTTGCAAATGCTAAGTAACTTGCTCTGCCACTAATCTAGCTACCCCCAACTCCTAAATCTGCTTTTTAAAAATATACACCCTGCTATATGCAGAGGATGCAAGTTTGAGGCCAGCCTGGGCAATTTGGTGAGACCTTGTCTTAAAAATTTTAAAAGGGCTGGGGATGCAGTAAGCATGTGTGAGGCCTTGGCTTCAGTCTCTAGTTCTGGGTGGGGGAAGGTGTTTGTATAATCTGAGTGTGTGTATGTGTGCATGCACGCACGCACATGTGCATGCACCTCCACACACAACTTGAGTCTTTTTAGAGAGTCTTTAGAGTAATAAGAATAATTTTATGAGCCTTCCATGAAAAACAGATGTTATATGGTTCATAGTATTGGTTCATTAATAGCTGCTTTTTATACAGTACAGATCTTTATCCCACTTATAAAAATTAGGACTTTTTTATTACTGATATTGCTTAATTGCTAAGGTTGTTAAGTAATTTTTTAATCATCTCTCCAAGAAATCAACATTTATTCTTCTTTGCCTGATTTTTTTCCTTTGTGAACTCACGTAATAAAGGAAAGAAATCTAGAAAATGGGTAGCCAGTGATTATGAATTAAATGTTTACAAAAGATTATCTGGCTCAGACTTTAATTTGCTATCCAGCTTGGAATTTCATATTATTCATTATAACTAAGAATGTCCTGATGACATGGTGGCACATGCCTATAATCCTAGCAAGTTGGGTGGCTAAGGCAGGAGGATTGCAAGTTCCAGGCCAGCCTCAGCAACCTAAAAAGATCCTGTCTCAAAAGAAAAAAAATAAAAGGACTGGGGATGTGGCTTAGTAGTAAAGTACCTTGGGCTCAATCTCCAGTACTAAAACAAAACAAAACAAACAACAACATAAAAAAATTAAGCCCTAGATCAGAAATTATGAGTTTAAAAATGGAATTTTGAGTAAGTGGAGTAGTAGAATTAGAAATGAGATTTAAAGTGATTGCCATCTAAATTGGTAGACAGATGGGATTTAAAATTAAAAAGAAGACTTGAATTCTGTATCCATGGTGGTCATATCCATGATTTCTTTTTCTTCTTCTTTTAAAGCAGATAGGTTTAGAGAAAGAGGTAGTATTTTTGGTACTGTTGACATAGCATAGTATTTGTCTATTTAATATTCAAAGGTATATAATTTTACAAATATTTCAGGTTGATGTGAAAGGTGTTGAAGCTCTATTATTTTTAAAAATATTTATTTCTTTTACTTGTACACCTTTGTTTTTATTTATTTACTTTTATATGGTGCTGAGGATTGAACCCAGGGCCTTGCATGTGCTAGGTGAGCGCTCTACCACTGACCCACAACCTCATCCAGAAGCTATATTATTTTAAAAATAAGTCTTACTTACCATGAGTATGTTATGAAAGATAATTAAATTGTGCTATGATTTAATTTCCTGAGAATATGAATAAAGAAATTGAGAAATGTATGTAATTTTAAAACATTCCATAGTTTCTTAGTCAGTAAACTTAGTTCCTTTGGTTCTTACCTTGTGTGGATAGAACAACTTGCTGAACTTCGACAGGAGTTTCTTCGACAAGAAGACCAGCTTCAGGACTATCGGAAGAATAATACTTACCTTGTGAAGAGGTTAGAGTATGAAAGGTAAGATGATACATGCAACAGATATTTATGAAACTGAAATATTGTTTAACTTTGGAATTAATTAATTTCTTCTTTTCTGGATTATTTTTCTTTTTTTATATTCTTAGTTCTTTTAAGTTTGTTTCACTTTGTCTTTTGATGGCTTTTATTTTGATATGCTAAACATGAAAATATTTCTTATAAGACATGTTGAATTTGTCTATGTTGTGGTGTCCCATTGTGAAACATAAAACCTTAAATCTCTGAGTTTTATCAAATTGGATATAGCCAAGACTGAATTCTTTTTAAGGGGATCTTAAAGATGAAGCTGTCTTTGGGAGATGGCCCAAGAATAGCTAAGAGACTAAGAGTGCTGGTTGCTTCTCCTGCTCTGCACTTCAATTCCCTTGCTTACACTTCTACATTTTGTGATGAGGATGGGGAACCTCTTAGGGACTTTTCTAGCAAACATTCATTAAAAACTTTTATGATATTTTTGGTAAAAGTTATTATTTTAGATTTATACAGCAAAAATTAGAAAGACTCGCCATATTTTAAAAGCTTATCCATTTCTAATTTCTTACTGCTATAGGTTATCAGTATGCATCTGCACTTACATAAATGTATTTTAACCTAATAGTATTTAGTACTTTTCTGTGTAGTTATAGGATTTAAGATTTAACCTATTAATTAGGTATCATAGTAGGTGCCTATAATCCCACCTACTCAGGAGGCTGAGGCCTGCCTAGGCAACATAGTGAGAACCTGTCTCAAAAAAAGGAAAAAAGAAAAAAAGACTTAACATATTGAGGGGTAATATATTATTCAGCATATTAGTGTAACAAAACTTGTTTAATTTTTCCCAGTTTTTGGATCACTGTAGAAATTTCCCCTTTTTTCAATATTATGATTATCACAGCTTTAAAAATTTTTATGCAAAAAAGGCCCCCCCCTTATTTTACTAGTGTGTCTTCTCAAATGTAGAATTCTTGGGAAAGAATATTTTACCAATTTTTTGCTCTAACAGCATTGATGAGAGATAGCTTTCTAAAGTGATTATCTAGCCAGGCACACTTCTGAAATTCAGGCAACTCAGGAGGCTGAAGCAGGAGGATTGCATGTTCAAAACATGGTTGGGCAACTTAGACCCTGTCTCAAATTCACAAAAAGGGCTGAGACTAACTCAGAGGTGAAACATCCCTGGATTTTATCCCTGGTACTGCAAAAAAAAAAAAAAGATTATTCTAATTTTCTAATTTGTAATACTGATATTTACTCTAATATAGGAAAATAAGGTACTACCATATATCCATATAGAAAGTTTAATTTGCATTTTATAATTATGAAAGTTAATATTTTTCTGTGTACTTATGAACTATATATTTTTGCATGAATGATGTATTTGTATTCTTTGACTCTTAGTCCCACAGAAAGTTACCACCTTCAACTGTTTTGCTTTCTTTCACTTTTTCTTGATGATACACTCTTATCTTTTTTATTGGTTTCTTCCATTCCCCTTATTCTCTGGTTTAAAATTTTAGTGTTGTGTTTAAGATACTATTGGACAAAACAATAGTTGCCATTCTTTATCCACTCTAATAATTCTAGTCTTTCTCATCCTATTATTATAAACTGGTTTCACAGTTTTCTATAGTATTTTTCTCTTCTGTGATTGAAATTAACTTTGACAATTGTTTCTTTATAAATGCAATATATAAAATGATGCAGTCAAGTTTGTTTTCTTTCCTTTTTTTTTTTTTCCTTTTTTGGTACTGGGGATTGAAACCAGGGGCGCTTAACCACTGAGCCACATTTTTTATATTTTATTTAGAGACAGGGTCTCATTGAGTTGCTTAGGGCCTCAGCCTCCTGAGCCCCTGGGAGTTTTCATCTTTTCAATTTATTTTTTCAGTTAACTTCATTGGTATTTCATATTTCCTATTAATGGTTCAAATATTTTAAAAATTCTGACTGTAAGTTATTTGTCTGTTTTTTTGTGTGTGTTATTATCTATTCACTCTTCTGCTTACTGAATGTTTTGTCTTTCTAAATGTGTGTGTCAACTTCCAGACAACTTTGAGAATTCAACCCAACATTATATAATCTAAAAGAATGCCTTTGTAATTTAGTTTTCAGTGTGGACAACAGATCAAAGAATTAAGAGCACAGCATGAAGAAAATATTAAAAAGTTAGCAGACCAGTTTTTGCAGGAACAAAAGGTAAATTTAAAAAATATATTTAAATCAAAATGTTTTTGTTATAAATCATGTAATTTGGGAATTAAAATTCTACTTTTGTCATAAAACATTGTATTTTGAAGTATTCTAGCCTGCCTAATTTTTATTTTTTTTTTAATATTTATTTTTTAGTTTTCGGTGGACACAACATCTTTATTTTATTTGTATGTGGTGCTAAGGCTTGAACCCAGCACCCCACGCACGCAAGGCGAGTGCACTACCGCTTGAGCCACATTCCCAGCCCTAGCCTGCCTAATTTTTAAAAAATGGTTTGTAGTAGCTTTACTGCTAAGTTAGACATTTACAAAAAATATCATCTTTGTTTATATTTGCAGTGTTGGGGTAGAACCCAGCATACTAGGCAAGGGCTTTATCACTGCACTTCAGCCTAGTACACTCTTAAGTCTTACGATATTTTAGCTTAAAAGTAGTTTTATTATCTAACTTTTTTAAAAATTAGAGCTTTATAGTTATACATCGTAGGTGGGTTCATCCTGACAAACACACATGCATTGAAATTGATTTTAGTTCACAATCCCTATTTTTCCCTCTAATCTTCCTTCCCCTCTCTCATTCTCCTTCTTCTACTCTACTAGACTTCCTTTCTCTCATCTATTAATTTGTATTTGATTGGTTCTTCATGTTATCTATCCTTTCCTCCCAGTTTCTTCAACTTCCACATATGAGAGAAAACATTCAACTTCTGAGTTTCTGAATTTGGCTTCTTTCACTTAACATGATATTCTTTATTTCCATCCATTTATAGGCAAATGCCATAATTGCATTCTTTTTTATGACTGAGTAGAATTCCTATTGTGTGTACGTGTGTGTGTGTATGTGTGTGTGTGTATCACAATTTCTTAATCCATTCATCTATTGACAGGCATCTGGTTTGATTCCATAACTTAATTATTTGAGTTGTACTGCAGTAAACATTGAGATGGCTATGTCACTGTAGGGTGATTTTAGATTTTTTTAGGAAAATACCAAGAAGTGAGATGGCTGGGTCATGTGGTGGTTCCATCCCTAGTTTTTTGCGGAATCTCCATACTTTTTTCCAGAGTGGTTGTACTAGTCTGCAGTCCCACCACCCAAACTTATATTGGAATATAAATTTTCAAAATAAGTTCTGAAAATGCTCTGGATTTTAAAAGGCTCTGTGGTAATATCTCCTTTTTCATCTCTAATCTTGTTGATTTCTGTCTTTTCATTCATTCTTTTGGCTATTTGGCTAAGGATTTCTCAATCTTATTTATTTTTTCAAAGTTGTATCTGACTTTTAAAAATAATTTTTTTCCCTCAGTAGTAATGCATCCCTATAGTCCCCAGCTACTTAAGAGACTGAGATAGAAGGATCACTTGAGCCCAGGAGTCCAAAATCAGCCTGGGCAATATAGCAAGATCTAGTCTTCAAAAAAGAAAAAGATGATGATGATGATGATAATTTTTATTGTTAATATATTTCTGAGATTTAAGGTAGATACCATTTTACTGAAAGTTGTCAATTACTTCCTTCCATTTGAAGAAAAAAATTAGAAACTTTTTATTTTTTTTTCAATCTTTGCTAGTCTGATACTGTTTCTTAAAATACAGAAATAAAACATTTAAAAGAAAAGAAAGAAATACCAGTCACTATAACCAATTTTTTTGGCAGGGGGCTGGTACCAGGAATTGAACTCAGGGCACTGGACCACTGAGCCACATCCCTAGCCCTATTTTGTATTTTTCTTTAGAGACAGGGTCTCACTGTATTGCTTTTGCTGAGGCTGGCTTTAAACTTGCAATCCTCCAGCCTCAGCCTCCCAAGCTGCTGGGATTACAGATGTGTACCACTGCACCTGGTACCAATTTTGATTCATACTTGTTTTTTTTTTCCTAGTGGTACCTTATGCATGCTAAACACAGGGCCTTATACATGCCAAAAACATGGTGTATCACTGAACTATGTCCCAACCCTGATTTATACTTTTTCAAAAATATTTTTAGTTGTAGATGGACACAATACCCTTATTTTATTTATTTATTTTTATGTGGTTCTGAGAATATAACCCAGTGCCTCACACATGTTAGGCAAGTGCTCTACCACTGAGCTACAACCCCAGCCCTAATTTATATTTTTTAACATAGCATATTCTTTTATTAATTTATCTATTTGAAGCTGATATATCATGAAGTTTTTTTTAGAAATAGAGGGAATTTTTCTGAAGATCACTAGCCATCAGGACCTGAGTAATTTTTATGACTCACCTCTAATCTCACCTGATTAGGCTTGGTTCTTATAAAGTCTTGTGATTAAAGTGAACAGGGATTTAATAGTGAAAGAATTTGTTTTTCTCTTTGGTAATGTCCACCTGTGTTCTATAAGGTAAGAACACAGGGTTTTGTTCTTTTTTTTTTTTTTTTCGGTACCAAAGATTGAACCCAAGGGCACTTAACCATTGAGCCACTTCCCAGCCCTTTTTATGTTTTATTTTGAGATGGAGTCTCACTACGTTGTTTACGTCCTTACTAAGTTGCTGAGGTTGATCTCAAATCTGTGATCCTCCTACTTTAGTCTCCCCAGCTGCTGGATTATAGGCATGTACCACCACACCCAGCTCACAGGGTTTTGTTCTAAGTGTTTCCACCGTTTTATAGCAGGATATTGGGGTGTCATTTCTCTTTCATTTTCTGAATCTACAAAGTGGAATAGCTGCTGCCTATGTACAGTCTACTTTGAAGAGACATGAGGATGGATTGGTAGAGGAATGCAGACCTGAGTGAGTGACCGTATAGAGGCGTTAAGGGCAGCCAGAAGGTAGTACTGAGACTGAGAAGTTTGAAGAGCATAGCAGAACATATGAGGAAGGGGGAAAGAAGTTTGCTAGGCATTTGTGCCCTTCCAAAACTAGAATATAAATAATGGAGTAGATTTGCTCTCTTCTCCCAAGGCGGACAGATAAGTGCTTTTCCTTTTTTTCTGCACAAGAATACTTCTCTTTCTGCGTTTTTTTTTTTTTTCTTTTGGTGTTTGAGTGGTACTGGGACTTGAACCTAGGAATGCTTTACCACTGAGCTCCATGTCTATCTCCCTTCTTTTTTTTAAGACAAGGTCTCTCCAAGTTGCCCAGGCTGGTCTCAAACTTGTAATCCTCCTGCGTCAACCTCCCATGTCACTGGGATTACAGGTGTATGTTGCCATGCCTTGCTTACCTTCTGCTCTTTTGTACTAAGCTATTCTAATAATTAATGGTTAACTCTTCAGTTTTTCTTAACCCTATCCTGCCCTAATTAGGACAAGGCAGGGCAAGAATGTAGATCCCTAGGAAACTTCTTTGTGGGGTAGCACACCAGGCCTTACCCTCTAGGCCTACTGCCAGATTCTGCTCCCTATCCTTTACTCCCTGTTCCTCAACTACATGAAAGATTGGTTCTGTGAAATTAGAGTTATTTTTCATAGGGACAAATTCAGTGTTCACCATATGAAACCAACATAAATTATATTCAGGGATTTATTTATTTATTTGTTTGTTTTTCTTGGAAGTTACTCTGGGAAAGGAGTTAGTAAACCATGTGTAACCCACAGGCCAAATGAACTTGCTGCCTGTTTTTGTACTTCTCACAAGCTAAAAATGGTGTGTATAT